TCTTATGGGCTTTTTGCATAACAAAGAAAATGATTGTGTGACGTATGGTTTTGATGGTTAGAAAGAATAGGTTATAGAAAGAAGGGAATTATGATGTAATCTTAGAGAGAGAGGTTTGATCGGAATTATATGTATAACTGCCGAGAGGAAGATCAGAAGCCACTTATTTATATTTTACTCAGGCGCCACTCTTAATGTTTTGTCATTTCTATAACGGCCAGCTATGTTGGAAGTGGACTGCTCAGATCACATTGTCATCCAGAGTGGGCAATCCTTTTGCTCATCCTCAGAGAATCATTGGTTCGGTTAACCTTTGAATCTGATCTCCAATTAAGATCAGCTGATAACCATAGGAACTAGTGCTGATGACAATGCCATCTTCTCTGCTTCTGTGGAAGGTCACGCAGTGCTGAGACAGGAATCAATTTTCTGTAGGCGTATAGGCACATGTGGCTCTTTGAAGTGGAAAAGTCCACTGTGTCATAGAGCCACTGCAAATTGTTAAGGAGGGTCTGTGGTTCAATGCAGAGTGCAAGTTATATGTGGTGAAAACTCCCAGCCTCAATATCTTACCATAGAAGCCAACCATTGCCATGCTTTGTAGTCTTACTCCTTGAGGGCAGTGAAATAGAATCACTTTAGGTATATGCTGAATCTGAAATACAGAGAAAGGCCGCAAAAGATCTCTTATAGTTTGGTAACTAGTTAAAAAGAGAAGAGGGAGCAAAGGCAAATGTTGGTTCTCACAGTAGGGGGGACGTGGAGTCTCCCCAGACATCTTTCTGCTGGCTGATGCTCTTTTTAAGAGTTTGGGGTGAGCAGTGAGAGGGCCAACATTGCTAATTAATGGTGGTCAAAATAAAAAGGAAGGGTCCTCCAAAAGCTATCTTCAAATTGCTGGATTTGGCATAAAATGGCAAATGCAGTTCAGAATAAGCAGATGTAAATAATTAATACACATTGAGGCAAATAGGCTACTGCCTTGGTATTCTGACTGACCAAGAAAAAAACCTTGTGTTTGTGGAGATGTCCTTGGTTTAGCACAGCTGACTTTTATAACCCAAGGGACTGTGTGGTTCCATAGCCTAAAGGAATATTATCTTCATGAGTGTGACAGAATAGAGAAGGTACACACTGTTTGCCATCTTGTTACATGTTCTCCTAGACAGACATACTATACTTGTGGTGATAATTGAAGCTGGGAAAGAACTAGGAGAGAGGTTTTTCACACAGAGAGAATCTCTCACAGGGAAGGGAAGTTGAAATGTGTTAAGAAGCTAACAGTAATGTTGAAGTTGGATTCGGAGAGGGAGGAGAATGACTAGCAAGCAAAGATGGAATTAGGCAGTCCTGAGCTGCTGAACAGAAGCAATTTCCAGGGCAATTCAAGATCACTGAAAAGGAGTTGACATCGAAATCAGGAGGAGAATGACACGGCATGGGATCTGTCTATTTGGCACAGATGCCCAGCAGGAGAAGAAGATTTGAAGACAGTGAAAAGAAGATCAAGGTTGCCTAGCCAACGGAAGGTGCTAATTTTTATCTGAAGCCCTTGATTAACTCTTTGGGGAATGTAATAATGGCTAGGTATTTAGCTTAGCTTAGGATAGGCATGCTTTCATATTAGGAGAAGCAATTCTAATGCAGGCAGGAAGATAGTTAATCTTAAAATGGTAAAGGAATTAGGCCATAAAGTGGGGGGGGGGTAGAGGTCTCTTTGTGTGCATTAGCTGAATGCTGCTTGCATAGTTATCTGACTGAATGAGTCAGTCTCATATAGAGAAACTTAATATCTTCTATCCTTGATGTGTTATGAATTAAGAAAATGTTACCCGGTTCACAAGAAGGGCCTTGCATAAGAGGGGCATATGTTGCAATTGATCCTAGAGAAATATTGCACACACACCCCTACATGTGACTGTTGTAATCTTCTCCCACTATGTAAAGCTGCTTCTTGAGCATTTCACAATCTGCTTGTGAAGAGACCAGAGAACAAGGGAGGAATCTGCAGTTAAACCTCACCGTTGCATCTTTCGACAGAAGGAAATTATACTGTGTAGGTGCCACACAGCTGGAATTCTGCCTGCTAACTTTAACACAACACAGTTCCACAAAATTCCATTTTTCCCCATTGCTTTTAGCAATTTGCTATCATGGGGCCTTCCAGGATTAGATGGCAAGGCATATTGCCTCATTTGCTAGGGACAACATAGGGCAATATAGTAGCGTAGAATGAAGGGTAAGAGGACTTGTAGACAAGGCATTCTCTAGGGCAAAAAACACAGAAGACTGGCTTATGTACCAGATCAGTCCTATAGCTGCCAAGCATCTAGGCAGGAAGTCTGTCCACCACCACTAATGCAGTCCTTTTAACTGAAGAAGCCTAGGTGTGAATCTGGGTCTCCCCACATGCAAAGCTAATGCTTTACTACTGAGCCTCAGGCTCTCCCTCTGAGGAATGGAATGGAGTAGAATGAAGCTCTAGGTTTTTGCCTTCCATTCTTCACTAAGGTTGCTATTTTTCTTAGGGTTTATCCTGGATGGCTGCAGACTCCGTTTCTTTTTGCACTGCACTCACCTAGTTTTTACAGGAAAGCTATTAATGCATGATGTGACAAGGGAGGTTGTTTTTCAGAGAGCTTCTTGCAGAGCCTGGTGCTGATTAGGATTGAGAGGGAGGGACTGGCCCAAAGTCACCCAGCTGGCTTCTGTGCCTAAGAAAGGACTGGAACCTGAGCCTCCCTGTTCCACCTTCATCACTATATCATGCTGACTCTTGCTCTCAGCCAGCGTATCGTCCAGGAATTCTGGTTATTGAAGAATTGTTTTAGTTTATCTGTTAAAATGATTTCTATATGATGCTTCTCATAGTGGATCTGGTGCTTTTTCTTCAGCATATTTCCCTTTCCGATCCATCTTAAGAATGTGTTAATATGTCTGGGCAGTTGTATTGTTTCTCACTTTGGTAACTATTGTGATGTGTTATACGTATCTGATGTTCTGCAGGCCAGCTGCTGGGAGAGCACTATATAGGTGTTTTGAATCTAAACTGCTAAGTTTGCAGTGCAGGATTCTCCTTTGTGGATGATGTTGTGTGTCAGAAAGAGATACACGCACGTCATTGCTCTCCTGCTCCAGGTTTGCATCAGCACCAGGGACAGCTCCCAGACCGCCGACTTTCCAGCCTACCCATTAGGGCTTCCCATAGAGTCCCTGTTCAATTTCCCATCATATTCCACAGCAGCCTTTCCCCAAACTCTCACCCTGCTCAGAAATACTAGGATTGCAGCTCCCAAAATTCCTGTGCTGGGTAGTGATTCTGGGAATACAATTCCAACATTTTCAGTGAATGCCTGGTTGAATAAAATTACCCTATAAGCAATGCAATGTTGTGGACATTGCCTATATCATGCTATTTAGAGGCCACCAGTAGAGAAGTGTACAATTCGCCTGGAGTCCCTTCAAACCTACAACCATTCTTTGGAGCAGGGTTCTCCTAGAATCGTATAGTGGGAAGGGACCTTGGAACTCATGGTCCCATTCCTGCTGTTGGCTGAATCTCTCTTTCCTGCTTTTTCAGACTCCTGCTACACCAGATACTGTCCCCGACCATGGCAAACTCAACCTGGCACTGAAATTCATTCCAGCTGGATCAGAAGGTGAGATTTAAGGAGCCCTGCTTCTTTTGGGGCCTTCTCCCTTGCCTGCCATGGATTGGGGTTGGAAGGGAAATTTCCATTCATACTGCGACACCCATCATGATGACTCCCAGAGAAAATATATCCTTAATGAACCTCAAACAGGGCCATGAAAATGAATGAAACTAGTATTTCAAATGGTATAACCCAGTTTTATTGGGGGGCAGGATTTTTTAATTTGATTTTAAACTATCCTATATAGGCAGAAATATTGTGATAAGAGGATTCTAAGACTTACTGTGGGGGATGGGTACTCTAAATCAGAATGGGAACATGAAAAAAATAGAATCAAAGAGACCATTCTTACTAGTAGGTGGGGGTGGGTGAAATTCAGCTGATCCATCACTTAAAATTCTGATACTTGGGGAGAAGGGGAAACAGTTCTATTTGGCTGGATCGGGGATCTTTCTCCCCAATGGCTTTAAAGGGGAGGAAACCCCTCTCCCAGTTCCAGGACAGTGCAAGAAATGGCTGATTCTGGGGCTTCTTAGAGCAACAGGTTTCAGAGATGTAGCTGTGAAAAAAAATCAAACAATAACTTCTGGCACTTGAAGACCAACACATTTATTACTGCAAAAGCTTTTGCAGACTACAGACCACTGTCACTGGCAGACATTTATGCCAGAATAAACTTGTTTTATGATACCTTAAAGAATAACAGTTCATTGTTTTGGGAGGAATCCAAGGGACTTTGACTCCAGAAGTCATTAGTTAATCAACTGTGGGCGACAGAAGCAGCTGAAGTCTTAAGTCAGACAGAAATTGGGCTGAATCTTTTGATGATTTTGGCTAACAGGGGTATTGAACTAGAGGTTGGTATTATGTTGGGGGTGGATGCCCCCTTTCTTAACATAGCTTTATTTCAGAGCGTGGACTCCCTCCCACTGGAGAGCTCCATATGTGGGTCAAGAATGCAGAGAACCTTGTGCCTCGGTGGGGGACCACGGTAGATGCCTTCGTTCAATGGTAACTATCAGTGGTTGTAAGACTCTTGTAATGGGGGAAGACTTGGGTTGGCTGAGCAACCGAAGGTCAAGCTGGTTCAAGTATTACGTAGCTTGATGTATATCTAGATGTTCCTTGCTTCTCTCAGCAGAGTGATCAGAATTATTATTTGTCCTGTCTGTCTTTCTCTCCCTCCCTCCCTTGCCAGAAAGACCTGCAATAGATTTTCTTTTCACCTTGTTGTTCTTTCTGCAGAAACTCCTTTTGCTGACAGGGAAATACATGTATTTAAAATGAATCTACTATCTGTACTTTGAAGGGTTTCAGTCCATTATAGAGATAGAAGGTTTTGCTCATGATGGTTTATTCAGAGGTTCCTTAAAAAAAAAAAAAAGAATGGATGTCACACTGGCTATGTTTGCATGATACAACTGGCCAGGTTTGTTGCTTCCCCAGGATAAACACCATAGTGAGTGGCATCAAACAGCCATGGATGCCCTGATGATAGGTAGCATCTGGTTTCTTATGGCTTCCTAACAGCCATAAATGTTGTTTGCAGGCTAGCTGTTTTTGTTTTTCTATTTTTTATATATATATTTTTTTGGGGGGGGGGGAGAATCCATGGTGACCCAGTCAGAGTCATAGGACAGAAGTGGAGGAGCATAGGACCATAGGAGCATTCTGACCATAGGACAGAAGAGGAGGTCTCATCCCCACCATTTTTCTGCCCAGTTTAACCCCCATATGCCTGCAAAAGGGAAGGTAAAAACTTAAAAAAGAAGGAATTTCTAGAGTGACCTTATTCTATTGTACCAGCACCTGAAAGAGGGTTAACTGTGGAGTCCTTGGGGTTTTCTGAGCTTGGTTGTTTTCTTGCAGATGTTTTGTTACCTGGCTAGGTAACATCTTCAGTGCTAATAACTACAAAAGTCTTGTAGAAGAAAAAGAACTCCCAGATCATGACACAGTTGTTAATTGGTTTTTTCCCCAGTGTCATGGACGCACAAAAAAATCCCCCATTCATTTGGGCCTAAATGGAAAAGAAAAAAAAAGCATATGGACACACCGGGTTGTGTCCTTATAATTTGCTTGTGTGTATCTGATGGGCTGCTGCATGACATAGAATGCTAGTCTCGATGGGTCTTTGCCCAGATCCAGCTACTGGTACACTTGGGTAATTTCAAACTCTAGACTCAATGATCCAGATGGAATTCAAACACCCTTGCCAGTGGATGGGCCCTTCTCTTTAGATGTGATGTGTGTTGCCTCACTAGTTCCAAAATATGGATGGGCTACATGGTCTGCAAATGGAGGCCCTGCTCAATCCGTTGATTGGACTTCTGGACTTTTATCTTAAGTGTCTTCCCCTGAAGACACTTCATTCAGGAAGATTCCTTCTATCATTTTATAAGGTTTCCTCCACAACCTAGTAGCAGCTCTGGAAAGCCAGATGACTTTTTAGGCAGAAGGAGCCTGGGGAGAAAGGCGTAATCCCTCCCTGCCACAGTTCCAGCTCATACACATCTCCCAACATGCAGCTGCTTTTTGTTAAATAAAAGACGTGATTACTTTGGATCACAGCTAGTTTGATCCCTGATTTTTCAGTGTTCAGCCCTCCCTGAAAAAGGCTGCTGTAGTCAATGGACTAAATATCCCTGGAGAGGGGTCAGTTTGCACTGTCCTGGTTTGATAACAGCAAACCAGGAATTCGGGGCTTAGCCATTATCAAAAGGATAGCTGAGCTGAAGTCCTTCCTGTCCAGTTCAGGACAAAACTTCAAAAATATCCATCTTGTTGCCTTAACTTCTTCCAGCTACATCCTCCCTGATGACACCAAGTTGAGCCGCCAGAAGACCCGAACTGTGAAAAAGACTCTCAACCCCACTTTCAATCACACTATGGTCTATGATGGCTTTGAGGTTAAGGACTTAGCAGAGGCATGTGCTGAATTCACTGTCTGGCACCGTGAAACCTTCTCGAAGCAGCGGCTTGGAGGCATCCGATTGAGTCTTGGCACAGGTGAAACACTAAAGCACTAAGAGAATGAAGGATGGATGTACAAAACCTATTGTTCTGGAAATGGAGTACTGGAGAACTTCATTATGTTCCATTCCTCCTCTGACCCATGTCAATTTGCAGTAATCTGTCAGTTTTCCAGAAATCAATTCTCCAACTTCTTCAAGATGTTCTAGAGCAGTAATCCAACCCCAAAGCAGGTGTCATCTAGTACCTAATGTCTGGAATACCTCAAACCACAGGGTTTGGAGGATTAACTTCTGGAAAACTGGTAAAGGCCTCCCACCCCAAAGTCAAGGTGACCCAAAGGGGGAACAGTAGGTTTTCCACATCCCTAGGGGGTACTTAGTCAAATAAGAGGAGGCCTACAGCTCCTTCATGAAGAGTGAATAGACAGTGCTCCATACACCCAGGTTTATGTCCGAGGCTGCAGTTGTATGCACAGGTCCTAGGAATAATGTAGACATTCTGTATTGTGTTCTTCTAGTTCTTGTCTAGAGAATTTGTTTTAGAAATCAGATAGCCTGCCTGCAAAAGACCCTGCTGTCTCTTGCTTATCATAGACAAGGTGACCTCTGACTGAAGACTATGTTTTTTAATGCAGGGAACAGCTATGGTCTACCAGTCCCATGGATGGATTCATCAGAGGAAGAGCGCCACACTTGGGAGATGGTGTTCAAGCACCCACGTGAGTGGGTGGAAGCTACTCTTCCCTTGAGGACCAATCTGAACCCAAGGACTTCATCCTAGCCTTTAGTTCAACAACAGTAGGATGCCTCTGCTATGAGGAAGAATTAGTCTGGTGGCAAATTGATGACTGTACATTATGGAGGCCCTCATTACAACCCCCTTGGTTTGCAGAGGTTAGTCTGCCTAAGAACAAGTTCCTGGTGCTGGGAGGAGCCATGGCCACTGGGACTCCTCTTACCGACTTAAGGAGAACATAGCATGGCTTCTAGAGAGACCTCTTGTGAAAACTCTGCACTGGGATGACTAGGTCACCCACTTCATTTTAAGGAAATAAACTGCCCTATGGTTACCTTTGCCCACCTCCGGTCTTCTCCATGTACACTGTCATCGATTTATAGTTTCCTCTATTTTTTTTAAATAACCATTTTTATTAAACTTCTCTGCACCCCACCTTCATTCCTTGTAGATATCCAGAGAAAGTTAAACAGTCCCTTTAAGTAAGTCCTCCATACTTTCTATAGGTCCCTTAAAGCACGGCTTGCAGTGTCTCTCACCACTGCACCACCAATGCCTACAGCTGCATCACTTGGTTTGTGCTAAAGACTGCAGGGTTGGATGGGGGAAGAAGAAGAGCTGTCCAAACTTGCTGAATTGATTTTAGTAGCCAAGATGGGGCTCCAGCAGGGAACTTCTAATCCTGGAGCAGCCTCTCTTGTAATAATTGCAGGGTATCACAACATTCTTCAGTCTCTTTTTGTGACATGCAGCAAGAAGAGAGAACGTTTTCCGCTTCCTCGTAGTCCATAATGCGTGCTGCTAAATTTAGCAGAAGTCTTCCATGGAAACTGCCTCTGTGAGGTTCTCCCCAAATTTATTTGCTGTGAAGATGATTTTTGGTCACTTTCCTGGACAAAGGAAAGATGAAAAGCCAGTATCTGACCTCAATATGAGGACTGATAAGTTAGAAATTCTTTCCAGTCTTCTTTCAACTGCTGGTGAGAAGATGGGCCAAATGGACCAGACCCTGTTGCCTTGCAAAGAAATCTGAGGCTTCCTTTCCTCTTTCTTCTCATGGTTCCTGGTGTAGCTGCTGCTGGGACAGGTTTTGTCGGTGGTCTATGATGGCTTTCCAAATACGGCACACCATTCCCCCTCTGCCAAGAGAAGACAATCAATCGATAACTATGGCTATGGGGATGAACCTTTTCGGTAGGTCAAAGTAACAGGTCATGATCCAGAACAGAACAATAGATAGCTTCCTCCTTATTGATATGTAACAAGCCCACAGAGGAATTGTTTGACTTGCAAGTTTTTTTTCCCTTTCTATTCTAGAGTCACCCGTTGGGGGATATAGGCAGCATACAAATTTAATAAATAAATAAATAAATAATTACAGGATCACAAGTTCAAGCCCCAGGAATTCCCCAATAAGGGGGAAGAGAAACAACACACGCTTTGAAATTTTAGAGATATTCTGCTAAATATGTATTTTTTCTTAGTCACCAGGACCAACATGGTACTAAGGATAACACCATGTTATCTGTAGCAACTCTAACTGGCATCTGCATGTTGATTATGATGATACTCAAATCTTACATGCATAATAACAGTACCCCAACTTTTCAGGATTTTAAATCATTTTTTAAAAATGAAATTATTTTTGGAGCCTTGCTACCATGCAAAATTACATGCTGATCCCTGAAATGATTGCCACCCTCCACCCTACCTGATGCATGTGTATCGGAGGTCATCGATTGTAGCCAAGTTCAGCAAATCATTCAGGGTGAATCCATGGTGCAAGAACTGAAGAGAGGAGGGCAGTGTCAATTATTGCATGATTTACATCCCAGGTTTCCTCCAAACTCAAGTGTTGAATGTGGCATTTCCTTTGTCTAATTGTTTCTTAAAACCACCATCATCCACCATCAAATAGGTTGAGTTGCAAGCAAGAGAGGATGAAGGGCCCCAGAGTCATCTTAATAAGCTCCACAGTTGAGTGGAGTCTTGACTCCAGGCCTCTCTTGGTCTTTGTCTAACCCTTATGCCACCCATCCAGGGAAACAGAACCTCTGCCTCAAAATGTGGGCATCAGTAGAGGCAAGTTTTCTGCTGCTACTTTGAGGCTAGAGTGGCCTTTTGCTTGAAAAACTAAAGTTTAGCTCAGGGTGGTCTTTTCTTCCCCACCAGTCCCACTGAAGCAGAGGCAGATGCTGATACCTTCTGCTGAATCAGACCTACCTCTGCCACCGTGGCTTTGTCTGCACCATGTTTTTCTAACCATTCTGCAAGGAGGGGATCTCCACCATCTTCTTGCTCCCAGGAAGTTGGAGAAGGAGGGATTTCTAGCAAAGCAGATGGAAAAGAACCAAGTCAAAGCTTCTTATTGGACCAATTCTGTTTTCTAAAACTATACTCTACAGGTTCCCCACAATTCCTTGCTTCAGGTGGTTTTTTTGTTGTTGATGCACCAGTCCGAATATGATCCTGAATGCAGAAGAATTCAGCTGACGGCCAATCTCTTGCTTCAAAGAGAAGCTTCTGATTCTTCTGTCCTCAAGGGTGCATAACATGAAGGATTCCAGAGCCACATGTAGACCCCCCTCCTATTTGCTACTGAATTCTAATTTTAATGTTATCATACAATAATATTAAATATATGGAGTTCTCACAACACACTTCAAGCTGGAAAGTTCAAGACTGAGGAGACACATTGGCCCAACATGATGGGCTTGATCAATTTTAACTACGAAGGGTTTTTGTGGGTTGCTGTGTTCTATGAACCTACCTGAAGAGTTATATTAAACTGTATATAAAAGTAAATCAACATTCATTTGTTGCAGCTTGAAACGAAGAGGAGAATCCTGTTTTGGGGAAAGACCATAGCAGAAGGGCAAAGCGTATATTTTGCATACAAAAGGTCCCATGAGCCACTGCATGGCAACTGTAACTTGAAAACAAGCAGATGGCTGTGGATATGGAACCCTCCTGGTGCAGAATTTGTCCTGATCTAAGACAACTTTCCACAAAGAAGTATCTGAAAATGTACAGATTCTACTTTTAGAAATCTCACAGAATAGAGATTCCCAAGGAACAAATGATAGGACTTTACTGCCTGAACTAAGTCCTTTGTCTCTTGCAAAATTGGAATTATGTAAATTAAGTTGACCTCCATGCAGGAGCATCTGCAAGGGGAAAAGGGGGGTCAAAAAAATCAAGATGGCAGGCATGACTATGCAGTTGAAGCTCTGCAGTGCATATAAAAAAGGGCCAAGGCTTTGATCTTGGAGTCGTAGTCACATCTTGATTTTTTTTGACCCCCGCAGATGCCTTTGTCTCCGTGCCGATCTACTCAGCTTTTCTTGGCATATGAATAAAATATGCTGATGCAGAATTACTCCTCTCAGCCACTGGTTCTACTTTAAGCTTGCTGCTGTCTGGAAACCCACCTATTATCTTTGGCCTTCTCAGAGACCAGGTATCCTGTTCCATGTTCTTCAGGGCTTCTTGTAGGAGCCTCTGACATTCCTGTTGCTTCTCCAACAATTTCCACTGCAGCCTGCCAGAGCCAAAAAGATCAGGGTAAGCTGGCCGTGTTCCTAAATTTAAAAACTGATTAGTGAGTAGACTTAAACCAGGGCTTGGTTTGTACCTGTTGCTAAGCCATAATGTGGCTTGATTCTTTCTGACCTAGCATGATGGATGAGCCCACCCATGACGTTTTAGTGTTATGTGCACACCACCCACCGTACCTTGTTCAACAAACTAGGATTTAAGACTCCTGTCTTAATGTCATGTGTGGCTACAGCTTAATGAAAAATAAACAGGAAAGAGTCATGCCCCAAGCAGCCAATGGTGGTATCTCTCTCCTGGAAAACCTAATAAAAGTATCAACAGCCCCTCTCTAAACAATGTGGTACAACAACCCTATTTCTGAGCCCCACCTAACCCCTATGTCTCACAGCCGCTCACTTTCAATGGACCCTTTTGGTTCAGCTTCTACATAAACATTTCTGCCTCTGAGCCCAACAAATTGTACATGTTGTGCACTAGGGCTTGCTACAGTGTGAGGCACATGCCCATCACATCTTCAGTGTTAAGAAAAAGAAGGGCGGAAATGGGAATTTCATGAGACACTACACAGCTTCCCTAGCCCAGTTTTGCAGGATGGAACTTCTATGAGCCAAGCTGACAATGGTGTGGTGCAGCTGGGTCTTCTTGTCAGCCCCTACAAGTTAGACCAGATCGGGAAACTGACTCTTCAGGAAGACTAGAATTATATTTGATTGACGTAGGTGATGGTAATAGAAACAGCGAGAGCCAGGTTGGTGGAGTGGTTAAGGCACCAGGCTAGAAACCAGGAGACCGTGAGTTCTAGTCCCGCCTAGGCACAAAGCCAGCTGGGTGGCCTTGGGCCAGTCCCTCTCTCTCAGCCCTAGGAAGCAGGCAATGGTCCACCACTTCCAAAATCTTGCCAGGAAAACTGCAGGGACTTGTCCAGGCAGTTGCCAGGAGTCAATACTGACTCAAAGGCGCACACACACAAAGCACCCACAAAAAAACAGAATGAGCCACTCTGATTGTGCTTCTTCTCCCCTCCCCCTTACACCCCAGTGAGTCGGGGAGATATCAGCCTGAGTCTTCTTAATACTTTCCCCCTTCCAGGACTTAAGAAATGCTTCTAAAATGCCTTTTTGCTTATGTAATGGATTCTGAACACCTGCCTCAGGGCCATCCCCCTGGCTCTCTATGCCTGTAGCCAGGAGGATCCCCACCATCCACCAGGCTGATGACAGAGGCCTGAGCACACAGACATAGGCTGACATAAACATGGGGGTGCTCTGCTCCCCGGGATCTGCTATGCTTTTAAAAAGAAAAAAATGGCTGGCTGGCTTGGGATGCAGAGGCTCACATCAGATGCTTACTTGCTTTAAAGGCTCTATACTCAACCAGCTGCACCACTGTGCAGTGGCTTAGCGTGGCTCCAACCCGACTGCTTGTCCCAGCCCGCCCAGCTTCTCAGACACAATCCGGGAAGAGCTGACCTTCTCGTCTCCTCCTGCAGATGGTTGAGTTGAGTCATGAGGGGCAAATGGCTCTTGAAGGGAGGCTGGGAATCCAGCCAACTGTTGGTGTCGGTGCCAATTCCGGAACTTGGCGTATCCGCACTGTCCTTGAGGTCGCTCTCCTCCTTTTTCAAAGACGGGGGCTGCTGAGGCAAAAGTCCCTCCTCGTCTTCTGTGCTGGTCAGGGGACCATGTCCTTCCTCCTGCGAATTCTGCAGCTTCACGAGTTCTGGAAGAGCGAGAGAGGCTTGTGAGCAAGGCAAGAACCCAGAACTGCAGGAAGAGGCAGTGGTTGCTAGCTGACAGGCATGTAGTAACTGGAAGCCTGGGATGGATAATCTCGCAAAATGGCTGCCAATGAAGGGGGATTATGGCTCCACAAAATGGCTGCCAGGAAGGGGATAACAGGAGAGGCGGTCTCCCGTCACTTCCTCAGAGGCTTTTAACCCTAAGAGTTTACCTTTATTTGGGCAGATGGCACCGAGCTGCATTCCCCCACCATTTTAATTCTTTTCTATAGAATTCTATAGAATTTGGGCAGGGGGAGGCACAGAGGCCCCCTCAAAAATAAGTTGTTGGAAACAGCGCCTGTGCTTTGCACCAAGCAGCATTCCACCACTATCACCACCCCCCTTTTTTTCAAATTAAATGCTTCTAAAAATGAATGAACAGAGGCAGGAAACCTGGCAGAGGCCAAAAGAGGTGTCTGCTGATACACCAGTGCCCATAGAAACATTTTGTTTACTCCTACAATCTAGGAACAAGTGAACAATCTATTCTGCCATAAAGGAAATATTCCAGGATCAATCCAGGCATCTCCAATTCAAGGAGCAGAGCAGCCAAAAATGGGGAGGGGGGGGAGCCTCCAAGATTTTAGATATACTTTTTGCACATTGATCCTAAATGCTCTTGGTGAATTGGGTGGCTGGAATCGCAGGAAAAAACAGTCCTTAAGATATGCAGAAGAAGGAATTTTAGAAGATAGCAGTTCTTCCTACAGAGATAGAAGCCAAACTCCTCTCCTTGGCAGACTAAGCTACGTGCATCTTCTCACCCAATCTGTTTTCCTAAAAGAAAAATCCTTCAACGTAACAAAGTGACTTGCTGTAAGTCCCACATTCATCAACCAAAGACCAGTATTATTTTTTAAAAAATAAGCAGTGTTCTACACCTTATAATTACAGGAAAAGTTTGTCCTATCAGCTATCCTCCAGAAATTCCCTTTAATTCATGTATGTCTCCTGTCAATAATGGTTTCAGCCTTACTTTAACAGACTCTTTGTTCTGCATTTAGCATTTAACAAGCTTCATTTCTCTAGTTATGCATCTAGATCAGCTTTTCTCAATCTTAGCATGGCTGGCTGGGAAATTCTGAGAGTTGAAGTCTGCACATCTTAAAATTGCTAAGGTTGAGAAATGCTGATCTAGAGAAAAGCGCATAACCTCATATAAAATGTCCTAGATCAGAATCATGTCACCTGACCAAAGAAACTGAAGACCTTGGGTGTTTCTGAAAGGTGATGGATTTTAGACATCATCATTTGTGGCCAGAGCACAGCTTCTTCTCTCCACTTCTCAGCTCCAATGGCTCTTGTCCTTGTATTCATGACTAAGCCAACCTTCTTCTCCCTCCCATTCATCCTACCTGGTAAGAGGACGGTCAAGGCTGCCTGGACTGCTTGACCCATGAGATTATCCAGGGCGAACACCCAGTGAGGCTTAATTTGGAGCTTCCGCAGCGTGTGCTTTACCTAGAGAGGTGGGACAGGACAAGTGTGAGATGGATGGGGCATCCTCACGTGATGCAGCACCAGTCAGTTTCTCATTAAAGATGAAAGGGACTGAAACAGCCCCCTAGGGCTAGATCCCCATATTTCACAGAGAGTGAGTTCACACACTGCCCTGAATCACAGCATGGGCGATAGGAGCACAACCACTGTACCTTTCAAAAGGCATGGTTGCTCATTTGGATTTTCTGTGAACTTAGCCAATTGAACTTTCTCCAATAAACCATCATTAAACAAGTCATGATTCAGAGCCGTGAACTGAATCCCAGAGAGAGACCAGATCATCTGTATCGGTTTTTCAGAAATCTTCCAGTTTGAGAAGAGATCCCAGTTGTAGCAAATGTTAAGGGAGCTAAGGACTATGTGGCATGCTAATTGTAAGGCGCTCACCGTGTCTTGGAAGGTGAAGAGCGGAGCTTGCACCTGACAAAAGCTCAGCCCATCGGCCTTCAAGCGAACCTGCAGCTGGAGCAGACTGTGGGCCAGCTGTTTGCGGCTGGGAGAACGGATGTAGCTCTTGAGACAGGATACCAGTTCAGCAATGTGCTCCAATGACAGCACTTTCTGTGGAGGAGAGGAAGAGAAAGACAAGGCCCACATGGAAGATCGGTCCAGGAGTAGCTGCAGCAAGGTTGCCATAGCATATGCACAAAAATGGAAGGACAGTGAAATACCCACAGGGGAAGATGGGATTATAAAATTGACAGAAAGGGCAGAAAAGGCGAAGCTGACCAGTTTGGGCAGGGAAAAAATGATAAAGACTTGTTAAAAGACTGGAAACCTTATACGGACTTTCTGTTGAAAGAGGAAAAGACTGAATGGATGATTTCTGGATTTGGTGGCTAAAGCCCAAATCCATAAATCGTCAATTCAGTCTTTTCCTCTTTCAACAGAAAAGAGGGGGAAAAAAGAGAGAGGCGAATGAGTAAGATGGTATTTACTCGATAGAAAGAAGGGCAGAAGTCATAATACTACCTTTTTTCTTTCTTTTTTCCCCTATCTTTCTTTTGGTTCTTTATACTTTTATTGTATGTAAAATTGTAATAAAATACATTAAAAAAGAAAAAGAATATACATCCAGGAAGAACAGAAAGCGGGCCTTACAGCCTGGTCCACCAACTCTGCCCGAGTTCATTCAATGGCAATAGGTTCCCTGGGATGTGGGTTTGTAACCAATATTAAAAATAGGGGACGCTTCTCTTGGTTTTAAATAAATGCCCCATATAAGAACTGAGTAATGAAGATGAACCAATGAATACGGGGAAGTGGATTTCTTTTTTCATTATCCCTTTTCTACCCGTTTTGTTTCAAAAGCCACCTTTTGCTTTTCCTTAACATCTACCTTGATCCAATAATGCTTAACATTCTAAATAATGTATCATGTTGGAAAGTGGCTAGTTTTTGTTTAGAAACATACTGAACTATTTAATTTATAATGCTGCAATTTAGGAATGGAAGCTGGGTTGGGAAGCTAGAATGCAGCCAAAGATCCTCCCTTACGGACGGTATTCCTTTATAAGTGTCAGATAAGCGGGGCTTGACCTGGACCAAGAAAATAACTCAAGAAAACATCTCGGACAAGCCCCTCCCTAATTCACAAAGAGATAAAATGAGGATGGGGGAAGCATATTCAGACTGGCAAGTTTCTGTTCCTATAGCTGTTACAATAAGAGTAGTCCTGACCTGTATGACATGGGTTTCTTAGTCTGGTCTACCTTGTTGGGCTGGCACACTGTGAGGAGAACAGGAAGGGAAGGGAAGGTACAGCCAATCCCATCTTCCCTCTGAGCTCAGGATTTCATAGCACAGTACTTGAGAGCTGGAGGAGATCACTCTCAGCCTTCACCTGTCCACCTTCAAGCCACATCTCCAAGACCCAAGTAGGTCTTACCTCTTCCTGGGCCTCATGTATGGCCGCTGAAATATTTGGCAGTTCCTCCGTCAGGACTTTGTGCAAGGTAGCTCGCCTCTCGCTGTCTTTCTTTAGCAAGAACAAGCAACTGCTCTCTTCGTGGGAGGAAGCAGAGAGGTTGAGATCGACATTGGTCAGTCCTTCAGGAGTCCTGTGCACATATATTGGAGGAGTTGGACTCAAGCATAACAATGGTTGGGTGACAGTAATTTACTCCCCCCCCCTCAAAAAAGCACAATGGGTGACATTCGGTTGGGAAACTCTCCGTTTAATAACAATCTTCTTGTACATGACAAAGTGAGGAGAAGGGTAACGCAATCAGTGTCTCGTGGATGATTGCAAAAATCATAAGAGTATGACCAATTTGACAAAGGACATCAGGTCATATATATATATTCTCTCCAAAAAGAGCAATATTGGAGATTCCCTGTACATGTGAGCAATGGTTGGCACTAGGTGGCAATCAAACCCTTTCTTACTTTCCCAGACCGTAATGCATTCTGGACAGATCAGTGCAGATCTAGAAGCAAACACCAACCAATAATTTAGATTGGCCACGCTCAGCTCTTCTTCGTTTGTGGTCACTACTGTCAAAACGAACAAGAAGAAATCCTTCCCCTCTCTCCCTCCTTCAAAATTAATTTGTTATGGTAACTTTTTTTCAAAAAAATTCAGCATCATGTTACCTTAGATAGTTGGTCTGGTTCACTTCGCTGGCGCTCCGGGCTAGAAAGATGTTTTCCACTTGTGTTTTCAAGGGCTGCAAGGAAGAAGAACGATTCCTGGGTTCTACTACACTTTCCGATGAAGTGGACCTTTTGGGCTTGTCGGGCACTGACAGATCATCTGAACAAAGGAGAGAAAAAGAGGCTGGTAGCTGAGAAGAGAAGCTAAACTATCAGGAATCTCAGCCTGGATTGGCCTCTCCCCTCACCTGGCACTGCTGGGCTTCTGCATTTCTTCCTGCTCCTCAAAAAGGGTTCCTGAAGCAAGGCAGCAGCAGTTGCCCGCTTGTCTGGATTGGCTTCAAAACATCTCAGAATAAAATCCTTGGCTTCATCAGACATGGAACTGGGCACCTCCGGATGGATCTTGAACATGCCCACCTGGAGAAAACAAACTGACTAGCAATAGTGCACCAACCTTTACCAGAACACCCACCATGAAGTATCTAGAAATTCGCCACCTTTCTTGAGTTCAAAGGAAGATGGGAAGCAGAACCCTTTGCCTGCTTTGGCTGGAGATGGTGGGGACTGAACTCAACAGCTTCCACAGCCAAAGCAGATGCTCATCAAGTCAGTTCAGGACCTTAACCCAAGAGCAGTTGCAACCTTGCCTTGGCAGCAGCTCTAATGATGGACTGGAAGAAGCAATCAGCTATTGAAAGAGCTCAGCAAGAATGTTGTTTTATTTATGGACTTGCAGGAAAGGTGGAATTCAGTAAAGTGCATGAATATTTAGAATAATTATCACAGTATTTTCTGGCTTGTTCTTTGTTCATAGAATTCCAAGCAATATGCATGGTCATACCCTCCCATTTTTCTTGACTTCACTAATCTGTAAAGTAGGTCGGGCTGAGAGGCAGTATGACCAGCGGGCCCACAGATACTACTCATTTGAGGATGAGTAGGGATTTGAAGCTTTCATGAAAGTTTTCATTCATTCTCGCTCCCTTACAGACCCTAATCCATTGGTTAAAGGAAGGAAGCAGCTATGTTTGGTCTCAGATACCGTCCCAGACTGACTGCCCCCCCGCCCCCCCCTTTCTTGCATTCCCACCCATTCCAATCTTGAGGAAGAGACCCAAGGCAGGGCCAGTCAAGAGTACTGACCATCTGCATTAATCTGAGGGACCAAAGAAGATTTCTCATCACCTGCCCAGCCTCACCTTGAACATTGCAGCCTGTGGGCTGCCCAGCTCGAAGAAAGGGGGCTTGCCTGTGGCCATCTCAATGATGGTGCACCCCAGAGACCAGATGTCAGCAGGCTTGCCATAACCTTTGGGCCCCTGGTCAATGATTTCTGGGGCCATGTACTGCAGGGTACCTATGGGAGGAAAGTCAGGGGAGGCAAGAGTGAGCACGCAACAGCCACACAACGTCCCTTTCCTGTAGCAGTGCAAGTAGACAATATTGGGCTGTCTTTCGATGGTGTTGTGTATGATTGCATTCCTTTCCAATTTTGGTAAGCTAGCTAGCTGTCAGCAGCTAGAAGCAGCTTCTGCTCATTCTCCTGAGCGAGACCCTGGAAATCTGCTTACTGGTCACAACGGTTCTTGCCCTGGGGCAGCTCGTAAATCTACCCAAGGCTGATTTCTCTTTTTGCTAGCTCCCAATTATTGATTGCCCAGACCACTCTGACACGCTGATCTGAACTTAATTATTTTACCCTGTTCTCTCTCCTATTCTTCCTGCTCTTCCTAGCTGTTCCTCCTCATCTGCCTGGTGAGCTGAAAACAGCTGCCAGGGTTTTTTAAATGCAAAATTGGATCCGACTTCAGAACACAGCAGAGGCGTCTGCAGAAAGTTTGGTTCTAATCTGTATCTTCAAAGATGAAGACAAACATTCTCTGATCTTAGGCTTATGGATTGCTGGAATTTTTAATATAGTTGTTCAGCTGATTATATTGCTCCCTCTAATGGTGGATTCAACTGGCAGGTGCCGAGAGAAATGGAACTAAATGGGGCTATTGACAAACAAGAGGCTGCTGTCAGCAACCCAGGGCAATTAAAATGTTTGCAAAGCAAATACTATTCACATGGAATGTTGAATGGCAGTTGAAATAAAAACCGTGTGCAAGTGTGCACATGCACGCTCACATGCATATGTAGAAATATGTGTGCATGTATGTGTGGGTTTATGCACATGAATGTTCTTGGGTAAACTCCAATGCAGTTGGAGATGGCGTACAAATTGCTAATAACCTGCACTTGGATAAGAGCAATTAAAATGTTCATTCACAGACCCAAATCCCTTACCTGTGAACGTCTCAGTGCTTGGGCTGATCCCAGCCAGCCTTTTGGAAGTGCCAAAGTCTGAAATTTTTAATACTCCACTATATGTGTTGATCAAGACGTTATCTCCCTGTCAATCACAGAAATTGCTGCTTTAGAGGACCGGAAGGTGTCCAAGATCTCCAGAGCAGAAAACATGGGGCAGCAATACCAAACCATCCCCAATGTGGGGTGGTTCTCACCTTGATGTCTCGGTGGATAATCTGATTATCATGGAGGTAACGTAAACCCTCTAGGATTTGCTTAGTGTAGAATACAATGGTTGGTTCGTTGTCCTTCAGCGGACCCCACATGGAACGTAAAAGAGAAGAGAGGCTTCCTATATGGAGAGATGCAGGGAGAGGAAGAACCATGGGGAATTACAGAGGCTACTTTCCACCAGAAATAAATCTTTGAGGACCAATTGCCCAGAGACCACCGTCTGCACAGACAGTGTGACTTTTGACGGCTGGGGGAGAATACTCAGTATGCCACAGTGAAAGGAACAATGTCACACAGGTGGAGTCAGAGTTTTCTGTTGGGTTTTGGGGGAAGAGTTTTGTAGAAGTGTGTAAAACAGTCTGAGCTTGACATGTTTTGCATTTCTCTTAAGAGTTTGGGGATTTTTCTTCATTTTATAACCCACATTAAATACAAGTTAGGGTCTATATTTCAATGTTCATGTATTTCCCATGGCAAGACAGCAAGAAAATGTACTGCTTGCTTTGATAATTAGATCTGGAAAGGGTTCCAGGAGGCAGAACAAAGCGCTCAAGATGCTTACCCAGAGAGTGACAATAAGCATTTACTTTCTGATCCTTAGCATAATTGATCCTTGCGTGCTGTCTTCCTAAGGGCCCTCATTTTAATACTCACAGTAAGATGGTGAAGGATGATCAGTCTGCATCTGAACATGCATTTACTAAAAGCTAATTTCCCAAACAGGTATGAGAATCAGAACTCAGTTTATGCACCTGCTTTAACACGTTCTAAAATTTTGCAGTGCAATTCACAGCTCCAAAAGGTGTATATGAAAACATGAAAAATACAACAGATGCCAACTCATCATGTCAGAACCAAAACAAATGGTTTAAGAATACAAAGCACAGATAAATGCATACTGGGAGAGAACGGCACACCAAAACAGGCACAGATTTTCACATGGACTTTTGAAAAGAGATTCATGGGGAAAAGATGGTTCATACATCCTGTTTGATGAAGTCTATTTCTAGTGTAGTGACATAAAATCATTGGCACAACAACTCCTCGTTGCATCCCTTGTTTCTCTTCCTACACCCAACCATCCAGTAGTTTGTTTCTATGTTGCGACACATCTCACCTTTATTTAAAGAAAGATAGTGGGAGCAACTCGAAAACTCTAAAAACCCAGAAACATCCAATAGTAGAAAAAAGTAAACAGCAGAGAAATAGTCTATAAAAGGGCATTGGGAAGTGGCCAAATGGAGTTATCATTACAATTCTAAGTAAAAAACATTTAGTGGAGAAAAAATAAACAGGGAATTAAGGGCAAACTAAGCTTTTCTTGGAGGTGAGACTTGCTCTAGGTTAGACATCAGTGGTGAAAAAAACTCTTTCTTGTCCACAAGAGCTGTGTTTCTGCTGTCAACAGGAAATGAGGCAACCTGTGAAATTAAATACAGCTCTCAAACTAGTTTATATGGGCGGAGGTGATTCCCAAGATACCTGGCCCCACACTGAGTTAAGAAGCAAACTTGTAGCTTCTGACGCTGGAAGGAGATGGGTCAAGATGATCTTTGCTGCTACCTGGACAAAAGCCTCCGGCCAAAGTTTCAAGAGATACCCAAAAACACTGCATTACAGTTGTCCAACTTGAAAGTGACTGGGCATGGTCAATTGAAGTAGATCTGATTCTGCTGAAAGGAAGGAATACTCACTACAGGGTTTCAGAATTGCATCTGGCACTTACCTCCAGGCACTTCCTCCATGAAGATTTTGAGGAAGCCATTTTGACTCACAGACCCCAGATAGCGGACAATGTTCCTGTGTTTCAGGCGCTTGTGGAGGGCAATCTCCTCATGCAGAGGCTGTGAGTATCTGGGAAGTAAATCCAGCAATGAATGAAAAACCAATGTAGAGCCTTCCAAGAATAGTTCAAAAGATCTGTGCCAAGGGAGGGGAGGGGAGGAGAAAGCCACAACCTCCCCCTGGAGATGTCTTCTCTGCCCACAGCTCCTACCTGCTGTCCCGCTCTGGGATCTCTTTAATGGCAATGCGCACTTGGTTGCTGCGGTCTCGTCCAGCATAGACCACACCGTAAGTCCCTTTTCCCAGAATCACCCTGTCACCTGCTTCAGTGTATTCATAGTCATACTGTGAAAGTGAAAGCATGGAGAGAATGTAGGGAAATGCAAAGCCTAGTCAGAAGACCTTTGATACACAGACAGCCCTATCATTCGTTAGAGTGAATTTTGATGCCTGGGACAGACAGTCCAGGGGAGTGTGACAGATAGTGGATCCTGGGCCCCTTAAATTAGCTTCTTGACCTCAAATATGGTAGAGGAAGTCAGTACTCAAGATTCAACTGCCAATCCTGTCAGCTTCCATAAACGGAATAGGGACAGTCACACAGGGTTTTTTTCAAGCAAACTTGTACTGTGCTGAAATCTGTCTCCCAACATCATGTTTCTATGTTATAAAGCATCATTCTCAGATGCTTTAGAACAGTGTTGTCCAAACTTGGCCACTTTAAGATGAGTGGACTTCAACTCCCAGAATTCCCCATGCTGGCTGGGGAATT